GCGTCTTCAATTTCTTGTTTATCTGTTTCTGTGGGTCTACATTTCTTGAACATCCCCTCCAAATTAAACATTCATGCAAGTTTTATTGCTAATATTAATTCATAGGTGTACAAAAGTCAAACATCTTGGCCTTTCATTATCGAATTTCATCTGATCTCACCATTTTGTATCACCTTGCCTCTCTAGGGAGGGCACCATAAGTCAGGGCCTTCCATTACGGAATTTCATCTGATTTTACTGTTTTGTATCATTGTGCCTCTGTAGGGAGGGTGCCATCGATGCTTTAAAGGTCATAATGGCCCTGTTTTAACCCTGTCAGATAGACTGTTAGGTCATGGCACTGGAAAAATATTTGCTAGTGGAGGTGAAGATGGCACTGTTCGCCTCTGGTCCATCAACTCCAGTGGAAAGCGTGGCCAACACGCTTTAAGGGCAACGCTTTATGGACATGAAAAGGCCGTATCATTGATGTCAGTTGCCGGGTAAGCGTTTGTTGCTTTATTCCGATACCCTTTTTTCTTGTTCTAGTTTTCCTTTTCATCGTCAAACTACGCGAGTTGGATTAAGTGTTGCACAGTTGAGTATATTAAACGAACTCATAATTTTTTATTTTCTGGTCAATTTTATATCGTCTATATTTTTTGAATGCTTTTACTGGGCCAAATCTCCAATAACATGGAGGAAAATCTTGAAATGATTTCTACCTTTATGGACTTTAAGAATAGTTTGATCATTACAAGGCTTATCATTCTTCCAGGTACAAAACATCTCTTCTGGTGAGCATGTCAAAGAATTCCAAGGTATTATTTCTTTTCTAAATCAAGTTCTCAGCATATAATTCTCATGTAGTGCATGCTGTTTTTTTGAACTCTTTTCATTTGTCCTGTTTGTGCCAATAATAGTGCTCATTGTACAAATTTTATTTCTGTTGAATCATTTACAATGTTGGTGATCTGCATCCTCCCCCCACAACCCACTCAAACGGGAAAAAATTGCTTAGGACATCATTCAAAAGATTCTAATCTCTACAGTTTTACCAACTTTTACCATTTGAGATTTTCTATGATTCATTTGAATCGGTTTGATAATTTTGCCTCCAAAAATCCTTCTTTGATATGTTTATGACATGTGATTCCGAATTTCCTATAAATCCTTAGTTTCTTGCTGAAATAGTGATGCCTCAGGACACAAGATATCTGTACAAAAATTGATGGCACATGGGTTTCAATGATATTGAAATCAGAATGTTTTATTTCTGTATTTCTTGATATATTGTACAGCCTAATGATCCTTTTTTATAGTACAAGAAAGGGAATAAACAGGAAACGACAGATCTTTTAAAATCTGCTAAACAATCTATCTAAATATACAATGCTAATTAAGGTAGGTAGGAATCTCTTCAATGATTTTGCCAATCAATATCGGATTTCAACACTCCCCCTCAAGTGGTAAATGTTGATCATATCCAACTTGTGCATGAAATCATCAATTTTTTGTCGAGGTAGTGCTTTGGTGAAAATGTTCGTAGTTTGTTCTTATGTAGGAACGTATGTTATGCAAAGAGTTCCTTCAACCCTTTCTTTGATGAAATGCCTGCCTATCTCTACATATTTTGTTCGATCATACTGTATAGGATTATGGAAAATATTGAGTACAACTTTGTTATCACAATAGAGTTTGATTGAAAATTTTATCTTAACATATAGCTCTTGTTCTTCATATATTTCTTATGCTACTGCTCTAAACTTGACTTCAGCAATGCTTCTGACTACTGCACTTTGTTTCTTACTTTTTCATGTTACCATATTTTCTCATATAAAAACACAATTTTCGGTAGTAGACCTCCTATTTTTGTTGAATCTACCCAATTTGGGTATGTGAAGACTTCAGTGTCCTTTTTTTCACTTTCTTGAAGAAAAATCCTTTTTCTGAGGAGTCCTTGAGATATTTGAGCATCTTGTAGACTATTTCTAGTGAATTTCCTTTGAAAAATGTATATGTTGGCTTAACATATTAACTGCAAGTGAATGTCGGGTCCAGTATATGAGAAGTAGATTAGTTTACCAACTAATCGTTGGTATCTAACTATTTCTACTAGATTTCCTTCATCTTCAGTTTTTTTTTCCTGCATTGACGAGGTATCACTTGGCTTATATCTAAGCATCTAAGTTTAGGTGAGAAGGTCAAGAACATATTTCCTTCGTGAGAAATTGATGATCGTTCTTTATCTAGCGACTTCCATTCCCAATAAGTACTGCATTTATTTCAGATCTTTTAATTTCAAATTCAGTGGCTAGGCTCTTCTTTAGTCCTTACATCTTTACTACATTATCTCCAATTAGAATTATGTCATCAACATATACAATTAAGATTATTTTAGTCCCATCTTTAAATTGTTGGAGAAACGATGTGATATGATTGTCCTTGTGATATCATTATCTTTTCAATATCTTTGCAAATCTGTGAAATCATGCTTTTGGTTGCTGTTTAAGCTCATACATAGACTTCTTGAGTTTACATATCCAGTTTCTTTTACTTACTTTGCCAAAACCTGATGGTAATGTCATGAAGACTTCTTGCAATTTTATGTTTAAAAATGCATTCTTAATGTTTAGTTGTTGAAAAGCCAATCTCAATTTGCTGCTAATAACAGAAGCACTCGAATTGTATTCAACTTTGCTACGTGCAAATATCTCTATATAGTCAATGTCATATGTTTATGTGTATCTTTTTGCAAATAACCGAGCTTTATATCATCCATTGTCCCATCAGCTTTATATTTTAAGTTGAAAGACCATTTGCACACAAGAAATTTCTTTTCCTTCGGTAGACCCATCACATCCCAAGTTTCATTTTTTTTTTTCTAGTGCTTTAATCTCCTTCATTACTGCTGCTATCCATTTCGAAATCTCCACAGCTTTCTACATAATCTTTGGAGTTTTGGTACTATTAATGTTAAAGTTAAAAACAAGAAACCCTATAGATAGAGGATTATAAGACATGGATTTTGAGATAGGGTGAAGAGTACATAATCGAGTTTATTTTTTGAAAGTACATCAGAGGTTTCATGAAATTTTGGAGCTATCATCGTTTCCTACTTTCTTGGTGCTTCAAATGTGAGATTATCCTTCTACATTTCTTTTGGTCTCCTTGAATAAATGGGCATTTAATTGTTACTTTGTTTTCTACATCTTCTCCTGTATTCAAGTTTCCTTTTGTAAATAGCATAGAAGAACTAAGTGGTGTGATAGATTCAGCATTTAGAGTCGGCTCGTGAGAAGAAAGATCGAAGTTTAAGTACCTATCTTCACTCAAATTCTCCCTCTGAATAAGGGTTTTTTTTTAGAAATGGGGGTGTTTTCAAGGAATCCTCTTCGTAGAAGTATCATTATACTTGGTATCCCTTTTGATTAGGATAGTATCTAATAAGAACACATTTAATTGCTCAAGGACCTAGCTTATTTCTATGATAGGTGTGAACATGAACAAATGCAGTATAGCTGAACACCTTGAGAGATATTTGAGTTGAGTTGGAAGTTAGGAAAAAAATTTGAACTTTTTGGAGGGGTGAGTTTTAGTTTAGAGTATGATTAGGCATTCTATTGATTAGGTAAGCAAATCTTAACATCTCCCAGAATATTTTAGACATGTTTGTAGTAAACATCAATCCCGAGCAATCTCAAGGTGTCTGTTTTTGCTTTTGACTATCCCATTTTGTTGAGAAGTGTCAACACATGAGTTTTGATGAATCATCCCATGTGTTTGAAGAAATTTTTGTAGTACATGAAAGGGAATAAAAAAGGAAAAGAGAAATCTATCAAAATTTGCTAATCAATCTCCTAGTCTGCTAATCAATCTATCGAAATAACAATCTGCCTAAATATACAATGCTAACTAAGGTAGGTAGGAATCTCATCAATGATTTTGCCATTCAATACCAAATTTCAACACTTGTGTCCCTTTAATTTTAGTTGTTTAGTGAATTGAATATTCTTTTATTTTGTTTACTTATCACTTAAACTTCTGGAATTTATTTTTTATTTTTTATTGTAAACGTGTTTAAATATTGAAGATGTCATTGTAATTGGTGGTTAATTGATGAAAATTAGAGAACATGTTCCAATATTTTCGGATCCTATATCAGTATTCTTTGAAATCAACATTTTTTTATTAAATTAATTGCTCGGTATTAGTGTAGAATCAACGAAATTGCGTTTTAAATAAATTCTCAATATCTGGTGGAATCAACAAGTAGTTGATCGATTGATTCCCGACATTCTCAGAAATCAACAGGGCTTTTGTTCTTTGTTTTGTTTTACGCTTTCGCCTACATCATTAGGTATGAGCTTAGTTAGATCCTAAGTTCTTAAAATCTGTTGGCCGGAGTTATGTCGCATAATGTTACCCCTTTCATTACTATGATATGAAGATTTGGATGTGCGTCGATTCATGTAAGGAAACAATGGCCTATCAATTTTCGACAAGAAGTTAAAGAATTTTTAGATTGTAGATGAAGAGTCAATTATTGATATTTCGGAGGATAAATATTTTATGCTTTTTGGATTTTGAGATGAATATCGAGCGTAACAACTTTGATGCCAATATGTGATACTGTATACCTAAGGTGATTGGAATACGCAACGAGGTAGAATCAATAGGAATGACAATTTGGTTCCTAATAAAAAAAAATTCTCAAGAACTTATTTGGAGAAGATTCCTTAGCTGGGAAGCATGGACATACCCCCAACTCCATCGTATTGGTGTCGAACTTGTGTCGGACATTGATACGCCTTCGACACGTTGCCTATACATGTCCTAGCATGGCAGGTGACGTTTACCTTTATTTATTTGAAATTTCGATGACCAGAAAAGAGGAAAAAAAGAGAAAAATAATCCTACCATTTCGATTTAGCTGGATCTTGGTATCCATGGCCTCGAAGTTTCATGGGCTCTGAAAAATTTTAGTGTGGATTGTACAACCCGGTAGTTGTAATGCCCTCATTCCCACATGTTTGCGAGGTGCCCACCTTTTAGCCGACAGGCACTCGTTCCCTTCTTTGGAGGCAGTGTGCTAAGAAATAAGATTGAATGATGTTACAACTATGTTTGGTGGTATCTTGATGGCACCGTATTGGTGGCTGGAATCCTTAGCTTGTTGAAGACGGAGTTTTCAATTCTAAGGTTTTGATAATTGGGTCAAATTATATTAAAGTGGGGCTTATCACTTTTTAAGTGGGTCTCGATACTTTTAAAGTTTCAAAGATTTTTAAGGTGGGTCAAATTTTTTTAAAGTGGGTTTAAATCATTCTTGGTGGCATTCTCATCCATCAATAACAAATTATCGATCAGTTTACACCAGATGAAGCTAGCTAATCTAATTAGGCGTAAAAAATCTTTCTTAAATCCTTTGATTTACTAACTTTAGGCTCTATTTCAAGAGAAAACTCTCATTGTTCAAATCCTTTGATTTATTGATTTTTTTCTTTGACATAAAAAATAAATAAATAATTAAAAATTAAAAAATATTTTAATCAACGTGTCGGTGATGTATCGTGTCGATATTTTTTGAAAAATCGCTTGGTGGACACGTCTGTGTCAATGCATCTTAACTCCTTGGTTACTGCAGAATCTCGTTCCGCCTACCCGTAATTCTCCCTTCTTCCATTTTCAGCAGCGTCATGGTTTTGAAGAATAAAAAACTACACGAACAGTTTGATGTTGAGGCTTCAAGCTCTCATCAAAGTGGTTATTCTTCTAGGAAATCTCTATCTCATGGGGTTTCTATATTTTTGGATGGATATACTGCCTTGTCCAGTCAGGAGCTTCGAGGTTACATATTAGTATGGAGGACAATCCAAGAATTATTTTTTCAAGGCATCGTGCGACTCATATAATCTGCAATAATCTCTCTGACTGTAAAATCAAGAATTTGAGGTCATTCATTGGTGGCCTTCCTGTAGTTAGATCTACCTAGGTGCAAGATTCTATTGCTGCTAATAAAGTTTTGAGTTGGATCCCTTATCTGCTCAATCAGCTTGCAAGAGAAATTCAATCTTTCCCTTTTTGTTGGCTGAAAGCTTTGGTATGCACGACCAACGAAAGCTATCTGCTTTTTTTGCTCTTAAAAAACGGCCAAGATTCTAATGATGCTACGACAAGTGTTGCTAGTAATATCTGAGATTGTGAATTCAGCTTGCAAGAGAAATTCAATCTTTCCCTTTTTGTTGGCTGAAAGCTTTGGTATGCACGACCAACGAAAGCTATCTGCTTTTTTTGCTCTTAAAAAACGGCCAAGATTCTAATGATGCTACGACAAGTGTTGCTAGTAATATCTGAGATTGTGAATTCAGCTTGCAAGAGAAATTCAATCTTTCCCTTTTTGTTGGCTGAAAGCTTTGGTATGCACGACCAACGAAAGCTATCTGCTTTTTTTGCTCTTAAAAAACGGCCAAGATTCTAATGATGCTACGACAAGTGTTGCTAGTAATATCTGAGATTGTGAATTCACCACTGAAGAGTGGGGCTTTGATGGTTTCGAATTATCCTGAACAATGTGAATCTGTACAACAATTGCAACGTTAATGGCTAGTTTGTAGTTTCTATTTGTTGCTCAATCATTTGTGAGAAACAAAAATTTGTAAAATTGCTTGAAGATGTCCCTTGTGTTCCTGAAGTCTGCTTGTTTCCTACCGTTGTCTCTGCAAACTTTCAAAAGCATTATTTTATTGCCATACAAGGCATCGGGGGAATGTCCAACATAAGATTCTAGGATGAATCTCTTCTTGCCTAGGGAGAATGATGCAGCCACAGGTCACGAGACATCGGTACAAAAATCGATGGCTCATGGGTTTCAGCATTATTTATGTCCCTTTAACTTTGGTTTTAGTGAACTGTGTAATCTTTTGTTTTGTTGACTTGTCTCTTGGAATTCTGAACTTTTTGCGAACGTGTTTAAATATTAAAGACATCTTGTAATTGGAAATTATTTTAATGAAAATTACGGAACTTGGATTTTTCTTTTCGATCAAATATCAGTATTCTCGGAATGAATGATTTTGTTGACCAAATCAATTACTCAGTATTCGTGTAGAATCAAGGAGATTGTGATTTTAAATTGGTTGTGAGGATTTGGTGGAATCAACAAGTATTTGATGGGTTGATCGAAGTTCTTAGGAATCAGTGGGCTTCTATCTTGTTCCTTGTTCTGTTTTACGCTTCAGCACGTCAAATATTTACTCTATATTTTTCAAATGATTGCTGAAGGCTTTTCATCTTGCTACTGAATAGGTTAGGGTTTGGGACACCACTACAGCATCATCTTCTAGTCGTTCTTCATGCTGTGTGGGAATGACATCTATTCCTGGCAATCCTGTGGGTATGAAATGCCATGAGTCACTGCTGTATGTTGCTGCTGGTTCCTCTGTCATTGCAATTGATTTAAGAACGATGCATAGAGTTTCAACGGTGATGCAGCAAGTAAAACTACATTCATTTCAAGTCATGCCTTCAAAATCCTTAATTTGCACAGGTGGAACTGGAAGGTAATAAGTAATTAGTGTTGCATAATATTTATCATTTTTTAAATTCAATTAAATTCATTATGATTCAATAAGTGGGGATAGCTTTCTGTTTCTATAATTCTATAGAATTCATTTCATTTAATTAGTAGGAGTGCAGGACTACGGGGGTAGTCGGCTTGTGGCAGAATTCATACCCGATGAATTACCTCATTTCTCTGTGGGGAAAGGCAGCTCTATAGACTTTTAGTTTTTCCCCCCTTGGATTGATATATAATGTTTAGACATACAAGAATCAATGACTTAAAACTGCTAGAGATGTTGGTTTTAACTTGTACTTTCAAGAATGGAGTTCATGACTGAAAATGATCTATAAAATGGTGGCATGCAGAGCAATGTTGTGGGATATTAGAAAAAGTTCCAACACACCTAAAGTAGAACCTGTCATCGAGTTGGATGGACATGTGGGCCCAATAAAGCTCTTACATATGGACCGATACAAAGTTGTTGCTGGTGGACTAGATGACTCCTGTATAAATGTTTGGGATGTTGATACTGGGGAGCATACAAATTCCTTGATATGTTCTGAGGATGAGTCTCTGGGGTGTTCAGCAATGGTTGTAGACGGATGTCGACTTGTTACTGCGAGTGGAGATGAAGAACAATGTGTCTTGCGCTTCAGGGACTTCGATACTGCTACTTGTCCCGTCTCGTCTAATGCATCGGAAACAGGTTCACCAGTTTCTAAATTCTGGGGTCCCCAATCATATAGTGATTCTGAATCTTCTGATTACTAGTCGCATTTTTTATTTTTATTTTTATTTTTGAAATTTGCTGCTTTTGAACATCAAACAGTCTTGTTTGTTTTTTGTCCTCTTTTTCTCCTGCATACTCTGATTCATTTTGTACTCTGCCAGATGTTTCTGTTTGTACTTAATATATTGACTAGATATCTTTTTCGATTTTTAAGCAAGAAAAGAAATGATAACATGTATTCTGTAAGGTGGATTATAAATTACCGGTGATGTGTACTTTGTCGTAAGTAGAACTAGACGACGCTGGACACTAGAACGAGAGAGAAGATGAAGGGTACCAATGGCAGAATGAGAGTAGAGGAATGAGATAGGGCGAATCATGGCCGTAACTATAATGATTCTAAGTTAGATTAAATTTCTTAGAGAGTATGTTCCGATTCCAAGGAACATGTCGTTCATTGCAGACAGCACGAAGAGTGGAAATGTGTGAGNGCTAGTGGGGTCAAACTAAACGGGCTCCATATCGACATTGTTGAAAAAGTAGATTATGTCCCTATACGGTGGTGATTAAAACCGGGTTTTTGTTAGATTTTGAAAAAAGTTCATGAAATGCGTTGTTCGAAAGTTGAGGGTCCCATGAAATATGTGGACGCTTGAGAGGAACCAAGAAGTGTGCTTGGTGGGATGGTGGGACTTACTGTATGTGCCAAGATCGAGATACTGATTTCCAAAAACTCTCCCAATCCTTGCCTCCCATCTTCGGTGTCTGCATGCATGTCCGGTAACAAATTATTCAGAAAAAATTTCCTTATTTCAATTTAGAGAAATTATGTTATCATGATTTTTCTGAAAATACACCTTGCAACTCCTCTGTACTTTGATACACCTCTCGAAAATCCACTGCTCTTTCTGCAGGCCGAAAAAGAAACTTTAGATACTTATTCATTGTTAAAACACGAGAAATTTTATCCGTTAATTACATTATTTAAGAGAGTGAAATGTAATACCTTCTTAACGAGGCTAGGTACTCTTCTTTTGTGACAGTTTGCATGAATTTTATTTCTTCCTTATAATCAGAGATCTGTAGAAAATTTCGAGACAATTTGGTCAGATTCTATTACAGATTGCACATAAATGCAGTCTGATACAGATTTATCACGTCCAAGTGGCAACCAGACGTCATCAAATGATAAATTTATTTAAATGCAAAGTCAAATAATTCATTTAATCGTACCTATCAAGTATGACCACCTAAACTAGTGTTAGATAGTACTATTCAACCATACATTCTCCAAAAAAATTTACTTTTTCGATTTATAACATACATACCGGGAAGTTAGTAAAAGTTGATGTCCCCCAACCCCAATACTTCAATGCAGCTAAATCATATGCTCTTGCAGCAGCTTTCTCATCATCATAAGCTCCTGAGGAATTTTGTCAAATGAAGGCTTCAGTACTTGACAGTATGGGACCCAAGATTTAACTTCTTTTGGTTTCAAATTAGCACTCACCGAGATAAACTGTCCATTGCCAAATTCCATTCCAGAGTGCAATCCATGAAACAGAAAACAAGATTCCACATCAGCACTAGCATTTTATCCAACAATATCTGAAAACAAATTCTTGTAAATTAAGGCTAATTACCTTGTTTCCCCTTCTTCTTCCGAGTAACGTTCCACGATAGTTTATCCCACAAATGTGCTTCGTATCGACCAGTCCATCGATGCTTGCTGACACCTCGAAATCTCGAACTTCTTTTGACAGGTGTTGGATCAACTTCTTTTTCTGTCTCTCTTTTTCTACGCTTAAAACGACACCTCACTTCAGGCACCTCCCCGTCCTCCATGCACATGAGACGCCTCCCAAGATTCTCTTCACTCATCAACATTGCCATTGCCATTGCTATTGCCATGTAGAAGAATGTATGTTGGCAGATGCTGTATTTACCTCTTTAAGAAGGAATTCCCATGCACATATGTGTTTATATATAGCCTTTGTTCTTTTTGGACTTACATTTTTCGTTGTTATGAATTCTTTTATGCGGACAAATATGACGATAATTACTATTATTCGAGGCAAGCTCAAGACAGATAAATTATTCTTGTACTTTTCCAACCATTGGAACCAAAATTTGGACTATGCTGTAATAATTTGTTGTTGAATTGTTAATTTCGTGGAGAATCTTTGGATTCCTTATGGCCTTTTTTACAAGCCTAGAACATCACGACCTAGTGAACACTTCAATGTTTAGGGGTAAATCCAGGCTGGAGCGGCCCATTTGAGCGGTCGATTTTACTGTGCAAAGTTATCTAGGCCCGTGGGCCGAGTGAGCAACCGGACTGAGCCGGTTTCATAGAGTCAGCAGGAAGCCAAAACGAGTCGACTCAATTCATTTTATGCCTCTATATGACGATATCAAGGTGATACTAAGATATGACTGAATCCTTCGTAAACCTTTGATGGCGAAATATCTTTTACTCACATATCTAAGAGCATGTGAAAAAAGATGAAGATGCGAAGAGCATCTTTAACATTTGCTTCTTGTACAAAAGAAGCTAGTTTCTTTTGACAATAATTACTCTTGATACTATCCAACTTATGTTTGGTTCACACAATTTGGAAATTTCCGATTTATGAAATAACAATTTTATTTATTTATTTATTATTATTATTTTTTTTCGCCAAACATTCTCTAAATGTCCTTAAAGAATATTGCTCTTTGCATGGCATAAAGATAAGAAAATGCCATTCATCAAAGAATTCTCCCACGAGAATCACCTTTTCATCTTCCAATCGAAGACTTCCACTTTTTATTTTTCTCAAAAGAAAGTATGGCCATATATTATCCTCCAGAAAAGATTAAACAAGCTAAATTAATACTGAAGGCGTAAATCCATTGGCATATTTATCACCAATATATATATATTGAACGATACTACACTGCAAGAAATAATATTTTCTCTCTTTTTATTTCTTTAAACATTTCTATTTAAATCTTTTATTCAATATAAAAACTTTGTGTTAAATCTATTACTACCAGGAGAAATATAAATGTTTTAGAATAGTAGAACTATACTAAAATATGAACGATCATGCTATTTGTACAATATATTTTACAACTTGATTTACAATGTATTAGTGGGTAATCATCACATCTATCTATTTGAAAAACTATTTTTAAAATCAATGGCCAGGATTTTTCCAACACACTTATTGTTAATCAAGTTGTGCAAATACATTGTACAAGTGGCTTTATTCAAATATGAAGGTCTGTCGAACAAGCCTTTTCGTCCATGTAAAGTAATTATAATTCTAACTTCTTTGAAATGAACATGGGTGTATCTGTCATCTTGGAGGCTCGAGGGATAATTTTAGTTCCTCATCAGAGATGGACCATGATGAACAAGACATGTTTTAAGACTGTCACCAGTATAGAAGGCTTCGTGAATGCTTTATTGGGATTTAAGAGAGGATGCAAGGAACGGAATATGTTGTCTTCATCTAAATATTCAACTTCATAAAGGTAATCTACTTTGAGCACACTTTTCTTTAAGGGTGAGGAAGAGAGGGATAAAGATGAATTGGAATAAAATGAACTTTGAGGACTA